AGAATTACTTTATGATGCCATCACTCAGGGAAAATCCAGGGACTTTGAAAGTTGAAATAAAGTAAACATGATCAACTTCTAACTATATTTTGTATTCCTGCGTTTTTTGCATCATGATGAAAAATCTGCTCACTTTTACCTTGATTACTTAGTTATTGTAGTGCTGAAGAGGCACACCATTTTGCTTTTTCACTAACAAGCAACAAAATATATGAGAACCTATCCGTAGTGAGTTACAGATTAATTCAAACTGATTTCACTCGCCTTCTTGTAGAATCAAGCTTGTGAATGCTTTTTATAGACCGAGAGCCAGCACGGAATTATCTAACCGGAGAGTATAAGAATTTTCACATACATTCTTAGATCGGGACACTCGAGTGTAGCAAGGATCGAGCAGTCTGGCTGGTCATAGCCGCTGGGTTCAAAATTTGAGACCCATCAAATTTCCGAAAAATTGCGTAAAATTTAACCGGAAAGTATTATAGTTGGTTTTAGTCTCATATTGTAGGGGTGACTTCCTTGATTAGATATTACCTTGCCAGACCGTCGAACTCCGCTGGGAAAGGGTTGCCAGACTGCCCGAAAGTTCCGAAAAATTGTGCAAATTTTAACCGGAAAGTATTATAGTTGATTTTAGTCTCATTTTGTAGGGGTGACTTCCCTGAGTAGATATTACCTTGCCAGACCGTCGAACTCCGCTGGTAAAGGGTTGCCAGACCGCCCGAAAGTTGCTAAAATCGACCTTTTCTGCCTCATGTGAATGCACAATAGTCCATAGCCAACCTATCCGAAACTAGGGGTTTACTTCCACATTCTGGAAAAAAATCTTTAGCATATGTATCCTATGTGTTTTTTAGCGCTAAGTTCGAATCTGAACTTTGCTACCTTCGATATTTGCCGCTAAAGCCGCCATCTTGAAGAGACGTTGCCAAATCTCATTTTTGTCCAAGAATCGGTAATAACTCGTTCCCTGTGCGTCGGACGACAAATAAAGTTCTGCAAAGTGAAAGTACGTTAAATTTTGATTTTGAAACATGCATCAAAGTTTTGATACAATGCATGTACCGTCCACCAGAGCGCGCTGAAAACCGCGGGAAATTTGAAAAAATTGTCATTTTTGTCGTTTTTCCTTAACACCTTTTTTTCTGGGCGATTTTTCGGCGAAAATGGTCGTGGAAAAGTGAAGTCAGCGAAAAACGCTACAAGAAAGACTCTCAATTTTTGGATTAATGACTGTTTTTATAGAAGTTAGGAGCGCTTGAAGTCGAAGACACCAACGGCCGAAATCGGCGTCAACGCTGGATCACGGTTCTGTCATATTATAAGCAGGCCCGCCACAAGGGGGGGATACTGGGTACCTGGTACCGGGGCCCGGGCTCCGGAGGGGGCCCGTGTTACCCGTGAAAAACCACTACGAATTCACAGGAAACCCTTTTTTCGTAAGAAAAAGTGAAAAATTTACCCTAAAAATTTCGCAAAAGGTGAATAGATTTTCAGAAACACGCTGCGGCACTGTAGAGTTCTTCTTAAATTTTCAAAGAAGTATACTTCTTGGAAAATTTCTATCTAGATTTCTACCTAAGATTTTCAGAACAGAGGGATATTTTTAGTAACTGCGTTTCATTTTCTTCCTTCGTCAGATGCTGAGGGTCTCCAGTCTGGGCATCCTCGACTTCAATGGCTCATGGCTCAACTCCCTTGCCATAGACAAACGAAGGGGGAGTCCAGGGGGGCCTGGCCCTCATAGAACTGAAAATAGTATCATATGCCGCCCCCCAAAAAATAAAAATTTTCCAGATGTTTTGAATGCAACAATTCGCAAGTACCTAGTTTGTGCTGAAAGTATAAAAAAAACATAATTATTCCGCAGAAATAGATGGGAAAATTCTTTATGGAAGCTTCAAAATGCGTCCGATTAGTCGTATAAATTCCATAATTTCTCGGGGGATGCCTCTCGCACCCCCCCCCCCCCCCCCCCCCCNCTTGGGGCCCGGACCTTAAAACTGGTACCAGGGCCCGAGATGGGATGTGGCGGGCCTGATTATAAGGATTGTACTTAATATGGTTTCATGACGTATTATTTTAGCTTTGAGGCATTGAATCTCGCTGTGAACATTACAGTTAGAGGTTTTAATTCACCCAGTATGGCATCCCTTTCTAGATCCCTACTCTGTCCCTATTCCCGCAGGTCTCGCAAAATTATGATGGGGCACTTTCCTTTCAGGGTCTAAATTTTCTCGATCCCGGGGGAAAAAGAGTTGAAGTCGCCTAACCATCATTTCAGCATCATTATTAGGAATGTGAATTGTTAGTCGAACCAATTTTAATAGCTGAGGTTCCAAACTTTGCGAACAGGGTCACAGGAGCCTGAACATTGAAGTTCCTGCCAACTTTAATTTTCAGGTCCCTGTGACCCTGTTCGCGAAGTCCGGAACAGGGTTATTGTCAGGTTTTCGAATATTTCAGGCGTCAATGCTTTTTACCTCTTTTTATTGGGAGGAATCCTCCCTCAAGGCACTTTCACAGAAATCACAGCAACATAAATACGAAGATAATATTCAGTAAAATACTCGGTGCGATTTTGTGTCTCATGACACCATTACCAATCGCTAAAAAGTACAAAAAGAAAAAAAAATAAAATCAAAAGAAAGCAGCATGGCATCACATGGTGATGGTCAACATACTGAGACAAGTACCATCACCATGTAACGCCTTGCTGGTTTCTTTTGGTTTTAATTTCTTTCTTTATTTTTGTACTTTTTGGCGGTTGATGATGGTCTCATGAGACACAGAAACGTCCCGTGCATTTTTATGTATGTTATAGCCTTATTTCCGCCGTGTCCTTTGTTTTCTTTATGCTATTTCTGTTTTGGGCTGCCTGTGTACTTATGTCTTTGTCTCATAAATACAAATATGTGCACCGAATAAGGCCGTTTTCTTAAACCCAGCGGTCAACTGTCACATAATCTGTTTGGCAGCAGCATTTGAGATTTGCAGGAAAATATTTTTATCAGCTCCTCCGGTTTAGGCTTCTTCCCTACTAAGTATCGGCGACAAGTAATTCTTTGTTGGCACACAGACATATTTAATCTAAACTTGCGGGTTCGTCCTAAAAGAGTGTTTTTGGGCTTCCTCCGTAGAGCAAGGCAACGAGTCAAATTTTGGATTGCCGTTTTTACCAGGCTTCATACCATCATTATTCAGCGAAGATTCTTCGGAGTTTTTATAACCTTAAGGAGCAAAAGCTGCACACGTATACACTTAAGGGTGCACAGTTTTGTGCGAAAATGTATGGAAAAATCCATGCAGGGGGATTTCTCACTCAAAGAGGAAGTAGCAGAATTCGACGATTCAGAGGCCGTACAAATTGATTTTAAAGGCGTCGATGATAACCCTGTTTCGGGGACATACTCCTCCCTACCAACTCCTATATTAAAAATTTCTGCGTCCCTGCCAGCTTTGGAACCCGAAGCTCAAGCTTGGAGAGCCCAAGCCAAAATGCCGAATTTTTAATCATTTCATTCAGCTTCCAACATGCTGAGAAAAGTGCCAGGTTCAATTATTCTGATAACTTCAAGCGTGCGTAGCTGATCATGTGTTGAATTTTTTTTGTAAAGATCGGATATGCTACTCCCATGAAGGAAATATTTCCTAATTCGATTTGACTAAAACTTAACATTCTTAATAATAATGCTGAAATGATGGTTAGGCGACTTCAACTCTTTTACCCCTGGGATCGAAAAAATTTAGACCCTGAAAGGAAAGTGCCCCATCATAATTTTGCGAGACCTGCGGGAATAGGGACAGAGTAGGGATCTAGAAAGGGATGCCATACTGGGTGAATTGAAACCTCTAACTGTAATGTTCACAGCGAGATTCAATGCCTCAAAGCTAAAATAATACGTCATGAAACCATATTAAGTACAATCCTTATAATATGACAGAACCGTGATCCAGCGTTGACGCCGATTTCGGCCGTTGGTGTCTTCGACTTCAAGCGCTCCTAACTTCTATAAAAACAGTCATTAATCCAAAAATTGAGAGTCTTTCTTGTAGCGTTTTTCGCTGACTTCACTTTTCCACGACCATTTTCGCCGAAAAATCGCCCAGAAAAAAAAGGTGTTAAGGAAAAACGACAAAAATGACAATTTTTTCAAATTTCCCGCGGTTTTCAGCGCGCTCTGGTGGACGGTACATGCATTGTATCAAAACTTTGATGCATGTTTCAAAATCAAAATTTAACGTACTTTCGCTTTGCAGAACTTTATTTGTCGTCCGACGCACAGGGAACGAGTTATTACCGATTCTTGGACAAAAATGAGATTTGGCAACGTCTCTTCAAGATGGCGGCTTTAGCGGCAAAAATCGAAGGTAGCAAAGTTCAGATTCGAACTTAGCGCTAAAAAACACATAGGATACATATGATAAGATTTTTTTCCAGAATGTGGAAGGTAAACCCCTATTTTGGGATAGGTTGGCTATGGACTATTGTGCATTCACATGAGGCAGAAAAGGTCGATTTTAGCAACTTTCGGGCGGTCTGGCAACCCTTTCCCAGCGGAGTTCGACGGTCTGGCAAGGTAATATCTACTCAGGGAAGTCACCCCTACAAAATGAGACTAAAATCAACTATAATACTTTCCGGTTAAAATTTGCACAATTTTTCGGAACTTTCGGGCGGTCTGGCAACCCTTTCCCAGCGGAGTTCGACGGTCTGGCAAGGTAATATCTAATCAGGGAAGTCACCCCTACAATATGAGACTAAAACCAACTATAATACTTTCCGGTTAAATTTTACGCAATTTTTCGGAAATTTGATGGGTCTCAAATTTTGAACCCAGCGGCTATGACCAGCCAGACTGCTCGATCCTTGCTACACTCGAGTGTCCCGATCTAAGAATGTATGTGAAAATTCTTATACTCTCCGGTTAGATAATTCGGTGCTGGCTCTTGGACTATTAGGTATTATTGGTCAATGATTGATTGTTTTCTCTCATTAGGTGAACATGCCTACGGATAGTTTCGAGTCACCCCTCACACTAGCAGCCTGTGGCGGCCATGTAGATTTAGCTTTATTATTAATTGATAGAGGTGCTAATATCGAAGAGGTAAATGATGAAGGTTACACTCCCTTAATGGAAGCTGCTCGAGAAGGCCACAAAGACATGGTTTCCGTACTACTTCAACGAGGTAAGACGTTTCATATTTTTAATCATTATTTTTTACTTTCATCATTCTATCCAGCCATTATTTATTTATTTATTAAAATATGAATGGGCGTAAGCCGATGACTATGGATACAGTAGAAAATTCTTACAAGATGGCAAAAAAATTATAAAGATCAAAAACTTAATTAACAAAGGGAATTAACAGTAGAAGAACAAAAACGTAAATAACAAAGAGAAAGAATAGTGGTAAGAGATAATAGGGTCATAAAAAGAGCAAAAAGACCACTAGACTACAAACAGGAACAAACTAAACATAATACTGTAGCACCCAGGACCTAGTGATCTGCTTGAAAAAGCCCAAACTAGAGCATTCCAACAACTCCGTCAGTAGCGAGTTCCACAGCCTGATCATCCTACACCTTGAAGATTTAAAGTAAAAATTGGTTCTAGCCCAAATCTCCTGAAACTGCCTGCTCAACAGTAGAGGATAAGACACCTCATGTTGACGGAAGAAAGTAAGCAGCTCAGAAGACTACAGCAACCCGTTCAAGAACTTAATGGTGTAAACTGCATTGAAGTAGCTACGCAAGGACCAGATTGAGTGCATGCTATGACTAACAGATGCATCACTATAATCATGATCGTAGAAAGACAGAGAAAGATCAAATTTTGCATTCACCAATATCAAAATTTAATCTATCATTTTGAGACCAATTAGACAAAAAGTCGATATCGGTTTGAATGGGAGCAGCATCATTTAGATTACAAATTATAGCGTACGCCTTCGGATCATCAGCATAAAGTGAGGCACAAACAAACTTTAACCCTGAAGCCAGATCAATTATAAAAAGCAAAAATAACATTGGGCCAAGATGGATCCCTTGCAAGATGCCAGAAGAAACCTCATCAGTGTCAGAAAGGACACCATTCCTCCCAACTTCTTGGGTTCGCTCACTCAGATATGAAAGAACCCAGTGTACGAAATTACCATCAAGATCAAAATTTCTCGATTTGCCAACTAGAAGTGAGTACAATTAATACAATTTATGGATATTCATGACACCAACAGCAGAAAAACATCGCAGCTGATCGAATGGACTTTGTCGGAATGATTTAGTAAGTTTATGGAGAGTGCAGCCTTGGTGACTGATGCTCTTGAATTAATCAACTTAAGAGATACCACGTTTTAAAAACTTCAGGCTCAGTTTTCTGTGGCTTTCTACCGTTTACCCAGCTTTGGAAGTAAGACTCTGTTTTATAGGATAAAAATGAAATACGGTCTAATGTTTCTTTGTGTTTAAACGAGGATATACCGTTTTTGTGACAGGCTTTTGAACTACTTGTCAAGTGAGTTACGATGTTTTAAAAACATGAGAGCTCCATCGGCTCCTGATCAGCTCTTGTTCCATTGAATCTCGTGAAATATAGTATCGGGGGGAGGGGGGGAGTTAGTCTTTGACAGGAAGCTCGAACTTTTGATCAAAGTCTCAAAATTGCAAATCCAAAATGGCGGACGTGGCCTAAAGTGCTATATTGGCTCCTGTTCCATCAATTTTCATGAAACTTGGTGTAGGGGGGTATTTTTGACAATAAACTCGAATTTTTTGTCAAATTTTTGAAATTCGCAAATCAAAAATGGTGAATGTGGCCTAAAACGCTATATCGGCTCGTATTCCATTGATTTTTGTGAAACTTGGAACTGAGAAATTCTTTATTGAATTATTCTTACCCCTACATTTACCTATAGTTAGTGATGAACTTTTGAATCAGCGCTTAAGTAATTATTATTATTCGAATAGTTTCTTTCTTTCACTGAAGATTGCAAACGTGTCCAAAAATTATATTAAATGCGTGAGAAGTTATTACAACATTGTTTAAATGTTTATTTGGTTGTAATCAGTGCTTCAGTGCTTGTGTGTGTCCAGAAAACTACAAAAACCCTCAAAAACATTTTCGGGCAAAAAATCCGGTCGAGGAAATTGACGTGTTACATCTTATTAACCAAAAAAATTCCCTTTCACCCCTCCAAGAAGGTTGATAAAACTAAGTAAGTAACTATGAGATGGCAAAAAGCTCTCTTAAATTCTCAGGGTCCATCAAGGCCACATATGTCCAAAAACTTACTCTATATGGTTTAAAAAAAAA